GAGAAGAAGTTAGGGAAGGAGAGGAAGTTAAAGAAGGAGAAGAAGTTAAGGATGGAGAAGAAGTTTGGGATAGAGAAGAAGTTTGGAATAGAGAAGAATTTAAGTATGGAGAAGAAATCAAGGAGGAAGAAGAAGTTATGGATGGAGTATAAGTTAAGGATGGAGAAGAAATTTGGGATGTAGATGAAGTTAAGGAAGGAGAAGAAGAAGTTAAGGATTGAGAAGAAGTTAGGGAAGGAGAAGAAGTTAAGGATGGGGAAATAGTTTAGGATGGGGAAGAAGTGAAGGAAGGAGAAGATGTTAGGGAAGGAGAAGATGTTAGGGAAGAAGAAGAAGTTTTGGATGGAGAAGAAGTCAAGGATAAACAAGAAATTATGGATGGGGAAGAAGTTAAGGAGGGAGAGATGATTATTATGGTTGGAGAAGAAGTCAAGGAAGGAGAAGAAGTCAAGGAAAGAGAAGAAGTCATGGAAGGAGAAGATGGTTTGGATGGAGAAGAAGTTAAGGAAGGAGAAGAAGTTAGGGAAAGAGAGGAAGTTAAAGAAGGAGAAGAAGTTAAGGATGGAGAAGAAGTTTGTGATCGAGAAGAAGTTTGGAATGGAGAAGAATTTAAGTATGGAAAAGAAATCAAAGAGGAAGAAGAAGTTAAGAAAGGAGAAGAAGTTATGGATGGAGTATAAGTTAAGGATGGAGAAGAAATTTGGGATGTAGATGAAGTTAAGGAAGGAGAAGAAGAAGTTAAGGATGGAGAAGAAGTTATGGAAGGAGAAGAAGTTAAGGATGGGGATAGTTTGGGATGGGAAGAAGTGAAGGAAGGAGAAGAAGTTAGTGTAGACCCCAAATCTTGCCCGACCTCCAAATAAAGACCAGAAGACCTCCTATTTGAAGATGGACAAGTCTAACAAGCCATTAGGAGAGATTATTAGGCCCCATACTAGGATAGGAGGGAGTTTTTGTACCAAAAAATAAGTTTTCTCGCTTTGAAGGGACGAGACCGCCTTCTGGACAACCCAGACCGCCGTCTCGCCTCACGTAGGAGGTGAGACCGCCGTCTCGCTTAACGAGACGGCGGTCTCGCCACCTACGAAGGACGAGACGGCGGTCTCGTTCACCTAGACGGCAGTCTCGCCATTTTGACAGGTCGAGACGGCGGTCTCGTTGGACGAGACGGCGGTCTCGACCCTGTCAGACGAGACCGGCGGTCTCGCCACCTGACAGCGCGAAAACCTATAAATAGGGGCTCTTCCCCCCTCGTTTCCACATACCACAGCTGCATAGCTCTCCCTTCTCTCTAAAAAACTTCTCTCTAGAATCCCTCCGATGCATTTCCGGAGCTTCTGAGTGCTTTCAAGAGTGATTTTCGGCGTTCGAGAGGTTTTCCGACGTCTTGTAGAGTGAAGGGCTGCCATAAAGCACCCTATTTTTTAGAGAATTAATATAAAAAGCGTGCTTCGGAGGTTCAAATTCTCTCCCTTCACCTTTACCGTTTTTATCTTAAATTATGCAATAGATATTAGGGTCATGTAGTCATACTTTTAAATTCCGCAGAATAAAAAGGGCGAAAGTGTATTTTTCTAGTTTATCAATAAAATAAGCCGGCCTGTCATAGGGAACCCGAAAGGGGCGTCGTAAAGGGACTAACACTCCCTTTGCACGTAACCAACTCCCTTACCCAACTCTGGTTCTAATGACCAAAGTTGGTTTTCGAAAACCAACGCCTTTTAAAACCCCTTTTCCGATGTTTCCGGTAAAAACATCGGTGGCGACTCCACGAACCCTTCAAAACCCGTTCTTGGGTTAGCCCGGTTATCGGACAACCCAAGAACACTTTTCGAAAACCTCGTCCCTAGGTTAGCCCGGTTATCGGACAACCTAAGGACGTTGTAACCACCCATAAAAAACGCGAAAATCAAAGAGGGTCGAAATAACCATTGCGTCGCTCCGACCGTCCCCTTTTTGGGAGGCGGCGACAGTTAGGAAAGAAGAAGAAGTTTTTGATGGAGAAGAAGTCAAGGATAAAGAAGAAATTATGAATGGGGAAGAAGTTAAGGAGGGAGAGATGATTATTATGGATGGAGAAGAAGTCAAGGAAGGAGAAGAAGTCATGGACGGAGAAAATGTTATGGAAGTAGAAGATGGTTTGGATGAAGAAGAAGTTAAGGAAGGAGAAGAAGTTAAGTGAAAGAGAGGTTAAAGAAGGAGAAGAAATTTGCGATGGAGAAGAAGTTTGGAATGGAGAAGAATTTAAGTATGGAGAAAAAATCAAGGAAGAAGAAGAAGTTAAGGAAGGACAAGAAGTTATGGATGGAGTATAAGTTAAGGATGGAGAAGAAATTTGGGATGTAGATGAAGTTAAGGAAGGAGAAGAAGACGTTAAGGATGGAGAAGAAGTTAGGGAAGGAGAAGAAGTTAAGGATGGAGAAATAATTTAGGATGGGGAAGAATTGAAGGAAGGAGAAGAAGTTAGAGAAAAAGAAGAAGTTTTGGATGGGGAAAAAGTAAAAGATAAAGAAGAAATTATGGATGGGGAAGAAGTTAAGGAGGGAGAGATGATTATTATGGATGGAGAAGAAGTCAAGGAAGGAGAAGAAGTGATGGACGGAGAAAATGTTATGGAAGGAGAAGATGGTTTGGATGAAGAAGAAGTTAAGGAAGGAGAAGAAGTTACGGAAAGAGAGGAAGTTAAAGAAGGAGAAGAAGTTAAGGATGGAGAAGAAGTTTGGGATGGAGAAGAAGTTTGAAATGGAGAAGAATTTAAGTATGGAGAAGAAATCAAGGAGGAAGAAGAAGTGAAGAAAGGAGAAGAAGTTATAGATGGAGTATAAGTTAAGGATGCAGAAGAAGAAGTTAAGGATGGAATAGAAGTTAGGAAAGGAGAAGAAGTTAAGGATGGGGAAATAGTTTGGGATGGGGAAGAAGTGAAGGAAGGAGAAGAAGTTAGGGAAAAAGAAGAAATTTTTTATGTAGAAGAAGTCAAGGAATAAGAATAAATTATGGATGGGGAAGAAGTTATGGAGGGACATATGATTATTATGGATGGAGAATAAGTTAAAGAAGGAGAAGAAGTTATGGACGGAGAAGATATTATGGAAGGAGAAGATGCTTTGGATGGAGAAGAAGTTAAAGAAGAAGAAGAAGTTAGGGAAATAGAGGAAGTTAAAGAAGGAGAAGGAGTTAAGGATGGAGAAGAAGTTTTTAATGGAGAAGTATTTAAGTATGGAGAAGAAATCAAAGAGGAAGAAGAAGTTAAGGAAGGAGAAGAAGTTATGGATGGAGTATAAGTTAAGGATGGAGAAGAAATTTGGGATGTAAATGAAGTTAAGGAAGGAGAAGAAGAAGTTAAGGAAGCAGAAGAAGTTAGGAAAAGAGAGGAAGTTAAAGAAGGAGAAGAAGTTAAGGATGGAGAAGAAGTTTGCGATGGAAAAGAATTTAAGTATGGAGAAAACATCAAGGAGGAAGAAAAAGTTAAGTAAGGAGAAGAAGTTATGGATGGAGTATAATTTATGGATGGAGAATAAATTTGGGATGTAGATGAAGTTAAGGAAGGAGAAGAAGACGTTAAGGATGGAGAAGAAGTTAGGGAAGGAGAAGAAGTTAAGGATGGAGAAATAGTTTGGGATAGGGAAGAAGTGAAGGAAGGAGAAGAAGTTAGGGAAAAAGAAGAAGTTTTGGATGGGGAAGAAGTTAAGGAGGGAGAGATGATTATTATGGATGGAGAAGAAGTCAAGGAAGGAGAAGAAGTCGTGGACGGATGTTTGGAATGGAGACAAATTTAAGTATGGAGAAGAAATCAAGGAGGAAGAAGAAGTTAAGGAAAGAGAATAAGTTATGGATGGAATATAAGTTAAGGATGGAGAAGAAATTTGGGATGTAGATGAAGTAAAGGAAGGAGAAGAAGAAGTTAAGGATGGAGCCGAAGTTAGAGAAGGAGAAGAAGTTAGGAAAAGAAAGGAAGTTAAACAAGGAGAAGAAGTTAAGGATGGAGAAGAAGTTTGGGATGGAGAAGCAGTTTAGAATGGCGAAGAATTTAAGTATGGAGAAGAAATCAAGGAGGAAGAAAAAGTTAAGGAAGGAGAAGAAGAAGTTAAGGATGGAGAAGAAGTTAGGGAAGGAGAAGAAGTTAAGGATGGGGAAATAGTTTGGGATGAGGAAGAAGTGAAGGAAGGTGAAGAAGGTAGGGAAGAAGAAGAAGTTTTGGATGAAGAAGAAGTCAAGGATAAAGAAGGAATTATGGATGGGGAATAAGTTAAGGAGGTAGAGATTATTATTATGGATGCAGAAGAAGTCAAGTATGGAGAAGAAGTAATGGACGGAGAAGATGTTATGGAAGGAGAAGATGCTATGGATGGGGAAGAAGTTAAGGAAGGAGAAGAAGTTAGGTAAAGAGAGGAAGTTAAAGAAGGAGAAGAAGTTAAGGATGGAGAAGAAGTTTGGGATGGAGAAGAATTTAAGTATGGAAAAGAAATGAAGGAGGAAGAAGAAAAAGTTAAGGAAAGAGAAGAAGTTATGGATGGAGTATAAGTTAAGGATGGAGAAGAAATTTGAAATGTAGATGAAGTTAAGGAAGGAGAAGAAGAAGTTAAGGATTGAGAAGAAGTTAGGGAAGGAGAAGAAGTTAAGGATGGGGAAATAGTTTGGATGGGAAAGAAGTGAAGGAAGGAGAAGAAGATAGGGAAGAAGAAGAAGTTTTGGATGGAGAAGAAGTCAAGGATAAAAAAAGAAATTATGGATGGGGAAGAAGTTAAGGAGGGAGAGTTGATTATTATGGATGGAGAAAAAGTCAAGTAAAGAGAAGAAGTCATGAACGAAGAAGATGTTATGGAAGGAGAAGATGCTTTGGATGGAGAAGAAGTTAAGGAAGGAAAAGAAGTTAGGGAAAGAGAGGAAGTTAAAGAAGGAGAAAAAGTTAAGGATAGAGAAAAAGTTTGGGATGGAGAAGAAGTTTGGAATGGAGAAGAATTTAAGTATGGAGAAGAAATCAAGAAGGAAGAAGAAGTTAAGGAATGAGAAGAAGTTATGGATGGAGTATAAATTAAGGATGGAGAAAAAATTTGGGATGTAGATGAAGTTAGGAAGGAGAAAAAGAAGTTAAGGATGGAGAAGAAGTTAGGGAAGGAGAAGAAGTTAAGGATGGAGAAATAGTTTGGGATGGAGAAGAAGTGAAGGAACATTACAAGAAAAAACATTTTTAGCGACTGAAGTTAGCGACCGATTTAATTTTGATCGCAACTAGTGACCGATTTAATTCGGTTGCAATTAGCAACTGATTTAGCGACCGATTTAATTCGGTCGCAATTAGCGACCGAGTTAATTCGGTCGCAATTAGCGACCGAGTTAATTCGATCGCAATTTAGCGACCATTTTAGCGACTAAGTTAATATGGTCGCAATTTAGCGATCGATTTAGTCACCGAAATAAGATTTAGTTTCACTTTTTCTATTTAGCAATAAATAGTTTGTGTCGCAAAATTTTAGTCGCTAAATCGGTGGCTATTCCATACTAAAATAAAAAAATCATTTAGCTGATCGATTTAGCGACCAAATTACAAATTAAATTATATTTTAAAAATTTATATTAAAAAAATTAAACACATCAAATTTTTCACATTTTAATTCCTCATTAACTTAATTAATTAAAAAATTACAATTTCAATCAAATTATTACAATTTTATTTTATAATACTTTATTTTTAATTTAATTTTTAAATTTATTGCTTTGTTATTATTAATTACTTAACCATAGTTGTTTTCATATCATTGATATATCGAGAAAAAATTTATATCAATATATATTAGATAATAAATATATTATTTAATTAAATTATTTATAAAATATATTGATCTTTAGTTAAAATATTTTTTAGTTTAAGTATACTAATTAATATTTTTCATTTTTAACATAATTAATAACAAAGATTAAAAATAGACGACTAGAAAAGTTAAAAATTTAAAATTAATCTATTTTATAAATACTAAAAATAAACCATATTTAAATAAATTAAAAATATATTTAAATTTATATTCAACATACCTCTAATTTTGCTCAATAAATTCATAAATCACATTTGGAAACTTCATCACTTAAATAACTTTAAAATTATTAACTTTTTTTTCAAAGCCAAGTTTTTATTGTAAGTTTTTCAAAAAAAATAGTTAATGTAAGTTAAGGTTGTGCCTTTTTAAAATTTCAACTTTTTTATATATTGGATTTTCATTAAAAAAATTCTAAAATTGCATAAGAAAATAGAGATTTAATTATACTTTTAATAAATTTAAGATAATACTAGTTTTTTTTTAATATTTATTTTAATTTTTTAAAACAGATAAACTATAATTTTAGTTTCTAAATACTAAATTTAAAGAATTAAATTTATTATTATTTAATCTTTTAATTTTAGTATTAAAAATTTAAATTATATTTTATTAAATTAAAATAATTACAATATATTTTTCTACTTTGAGAATTAAAAATATAATTAAACTAAAACTGAAAATATTATAATACATTTTTGAACTCTTTTTTATAATATTTTTATCATTATTATATTTTTGGATTAATTGTTTTTTTCCTAATTTTTTATAAAGTCAATTTTAATATTTAAAAGTATTTAACATTTTGAATTCTGAAACTTTTTCTCTATTAGCAAATTTAAAAACATAATATACTAAAAAAGTATTATACATAATTATTTCATTCAAATTTTTAATAATATGATAAGTCATCAAATTCGTATATAAAACAAATTTAATGATGGATTAAAATAGAACAACATTTATAAGAGATTATTTATTTTTATTTATGATGAATCAAAAGTGGAAATACATTTAAATTTATAATTTTATTTATGAAACACATTTAAATTTATAATTAATCGAAAATAATAAAAATCTTAATATAATATGATACTTTTAGTAATGTATTTTTTTATAAATTTAAACTTACTTTTTTTAGTTTAGTTTTTAAATTTTATATATTATTATTTTTAATTGATATACTAGAATAAATTTATATAAAAATAATCTTTATCTTCAAAATTCACTTCTTCAAATTCTATCTTTATATTTTTCTACTTGTTTCGTTATAGTTAAGAAAGTCAAGCATTTGTGCACACACTTAAATATAATATAAAGTAAAGAATATTTATTTATTCTATTTTATTTCCATTCTATAATTTGAGTTTTTTTAAAATATATTTTATATTTTTAAAATTAATAATTTTAATGTAGTTATCTAAGCTTTTGATGTGATGATTTTAATTAATTGATATTATCAAACCATTTAATTTGATTTATTATAGTAAAAATCATAAAAATAAATGTTAAAATAATATTAATTATTTTAAATTATAAGAAAATAAATAATAAAAATAGAAAATAAAATATTCTATAAAAGAAGACTAATTATTATAAAGATAAAATAGAATATGGGAGGAGATGAGGATGATAAAGTAGTAAAAACGATAGAGTTTAAAAAATATATAGAATGTGAGAAGTTAAAAAAAATATATAGAATGTGAGAAGTTTAAAAAGAGAAAAAAAAGTTAAAAAAGCATATATATATATATATATATATATATATATATATATATATATATATATATATATATATATATATATAAAAAGTAATTGGATTAAATTTATTATCCCCTCATATATTATTATACATTATTAGCGTAATTTTAGTTTAATTAAAAATTAGAATACAAATATACTATATTATACTAATATATCATTATATTATAATATTTATAATTTATTTTCATTGTGTATAAATTATAAAACTAATAATTTTTAAAAAGTTTAATGATAATTTTTTTAACTTATATATTACAAAATATTTTTTAATACTTTAATAAATATAACTTTTTTTAAAAATATTTTCATCAATTTAAAGTATAATTTTTTAATATTTTTTAGTATTTTTTTAAATGTGGATATCTTTAATATTTTGGACATGTAAATATAATTTGTACATGTTTTAAACCTTTTTCTAATATTTATTTTTAAAAATATAATATTATTTTTAATATTTCATATTTATATTTTTTCTTAAATATATAAATATATAAAGATATAAATTTATAAAGATATAAATATATAAATACTTAAAATATATAAAGATATAAAGATATAAATATATAAAGATATAAATATATAAAGATATAAAGATATAAATATATAAAGATATAAATATATAATTATATAAATATGTAAATATATAAATATATATATATATATATATATATCTTTAATAATTTGTACATTTAAATATAATTTATATATATTTTTAAACCTTTTTCTAATATTTGTTTTTAAAAATATAATATTATTTTTAAAATTTAATATTTAATTTTTTAATTTTTTCTTAAATATATCAATATTTAAATATATATTAAAATATATAAATATATTTGTATTTATAGATTTTATATTTATATATTTATACGGATATACATTTATTTATATAAAAATATATATAATTTATTTGTAAGTTATTATTGGAAAATTCTAGTAGTTTAGTGGTTGGGCTTTTAGCCTCCAACTCTAAGGTACCGGATTTGAATCTTGACAATAACAATAATTTGGTAATAAGTCAAACTTCTAAAAAATGTAATGAATAATAAAAGTATAATATAACGGAGGTAGTGCAGTCTTTAGATAAATAGAGGGGATTTGTAAATAAATAAAAATAATTAACTTTGTCATTGATTTAGCGGTTGATATAAATCGGTCGTTATATTTTTAACTTTGTCATTGATTTAGTGGCCGATATAAATCGGTCGTTATTTTTTTAACTTTGTCACCGACTTAGCGACCGATTTAATATATTAATTTCGATCGCTATTTTGCGACCGAAATGAAAATCGGTCACTAACACATTAGCGACTTGCCCTTTTGTGACGACGAATTTTGGTCGTTATTTTTTTAACTTTGCACCGACTTAGCGACCGATTTAATATATTAATTTCGGTCACTATTTTGCGACCGAAATGAAAATCAGTCACTAACACATTAGCGACTTTGCCTTTTGTGACGACGAATTTTGGTCGCTAAGTTTGGTCGCTAACTGTTTAGTGACCGATTTTTTGACATTAGCAACCGATTTTTTCGATCGCTAAAATGATTTTTTCTTGTAGTGGAAGGAGAAGAAGTTAAGGAAGAAGAAGAAGTTTTGGATGGAGAAGAAGTCAAGGATAAAGAAGAAATTATGGATGGGGAAGAAGTTAAGGAGGGAGAGATGATTATTATGGATGGAGAAGAAGTCAAGGAAGGAGAAGAAGTCATGGACGGAGAAGATGTTATGGAAGGAGAAGATGCTTTGTGATGTGAACATGACCTATGATAAGGGCTAGAGCAAGGGAAACAAAGGAAGCTCTTCAACAAGTATTGTTGGTTGGCCAAATTGTGTTTTGGATTAATCAATTAATGGGCTTTAGTTTGATTTTGTTTTAAGTTGTAATAAGGGCCCAATTGAAAATTTAGTCATCAGCCTTTAGGAGACCAAGGGGTGCATAACTGATTGACTTTTGGTTGTCACAGTTTCAGATACAATCAGTCATTAAGTAGTTTCAATTCTTAGGTCAATGGATCATTATTAGCCTTTATTTGTTTCCATTAAATAGTTTTCAATTCCTAGATTAATGGGTTATTATTAGTATTTATTTTCTTTTATTGAGTCTTTGTAATTCTAATGGCAAAGCTTCTTTATAAGCTGAACGATTTTTATCATAAATAACAAGTTGAGTTTTATTTTTAGAAATATTAGAGTTTATCTCTTTTATCTTAGTGAGAGTAATTCTCCTAAGTTCTTGAGTGATTCAAGAATATTTGGCTGTATCAAAGAACTTTCACATCCTTTGTGTGTTGCCTTCCTTGGAAAGAGTGATTCTTTCCTTCCACCTTCTTTCTAATTCCTAAATCACCCATTGTGATTCATATCACTTTGGATGGAGAAAAAGTTAAGGAAGGAGAAGAAGTTAGGTAAAGAGAGGAAGTTAAAGAAGGAGAAGAAGTTTGGGATGGAGAAAAAGTTTGGGATGGAGAAGAAATTTGAAATGGAGAAGAATTTAAGTATGGAGAAGAAATCAAGAAGGAAGAAGAAAAAGTTAAGGAAGGAGAAGAAGTTATGAATGGAGTATAAGTTAAGGATGGAGAAGAAATTTAGGATGTAGATGAAGTTAAGGAAGGAGAAGAAAAAGTTAAGGATGGAGAAGAAGTTAGGGAAGGAGAAGAAGTTAAAGATGGGGAAATAGTTTGGGATGGGGAAGAAGTGAAGGAAGAAGAAGAAGTTAGGAAAGAAGAAGAAGTTTTGGATGGAGAAGAAGTCAATGTAGAAGAGAGGAGAGGAAGTTTGGTTAAACTTCAACCTTGGTCTCCAAAGTCTTGACCGTTCCAAAGCTATGCCAAAAATGCTCCCATTCAAATGTTGCTATGTGTCATTAATTAACTTATTAATCTCTTAATTGAGCATTCCACTTATTTCAATTAAGTTTTACATTTATTAATTCAAGCACTTTAGGTTACTACTTGCTTGCTAATTTAAGCTGAAGTTTTAAAAGGAGTTTACTAATACTCAACCGCTAATAGGGTATTTAATTTATATATTTTGGCTCAAAAACCAAATTAATTAAGTAGTAGTTCTAATCAAATTTTAATTAGAAATTCAAAGTTCTTGTCCTAATCAAATATCTTACTTTCTTATTATTCTATTAAATATGTGACAATTTACGCTCTAACATGCCTTCAACCATGTTTAAGAGAGTGTGACAACATTAAATAAAATAAATTTAAAATCTTAAAGTTATATATACTTATAAAACAAATCTTAAACAAGAGTTAAGGTTTTTTAATATACATCTATACAAATATTTTGTTTTAAATATTTAAATACATCATATAGAAATTAAAAAAAAAAAAAAAAATATATATATATATATATATATCCTATTCATATAGGAGCAATTTAGTGAGACACAAATAGATGATGGTATCATGTATTTGCCTATAAGATTAGTCTATCATTTATGTTATGATGTAAATTACTACAAGAAAATCGCAAATTTTCGACGGATTTGTGGTCGATCTGAAAATGAATCATTATCGATGGAAATTACCGATAGATATAGAATTTGGTTTTACCGACGGATATATCCGTCGGTAAAATAATAATTAGTTATCGACGGATATATCCGTCGGTAAATTGATAATTAATTACCGACGGATATATCTGTTGGTAAATTAACAATTAATTACCGACGGATTATTTATCGACGAATATTTACGTCGATAAATTCATCGATAAATTAACAAATCATTACCAACGGATATATTCATCGGTAAAATTATATAATAATTACTTATTATATTCTAATAAATTAATTATTCACCTAATTAAAAAATTAAATATTTTTTTATTTAATAATTTAATTTAATTATAATTAGATTAATTTATAATAATTTATTAAATTAAATAATTTAAAAAATAAATATATAAATATATAAATATAATTTATTTGTAAATTATTATCGAAAAATTTAAGTAGCTTAGTGGTTGAAGTATTAGTAGAGGTAAAATAAATAATAATTCCTGTTCGGTAATATTTACTGACAACCCAATTTCCGATGGATTTTTGTTATTACCGATCTAATTTTGACCGTCGGTAATTTCAATTTTTTTTTGTAGCGAATTAAGATTTGCAACTATTTAATCAATTTATTGTTCAAAAACTATTTTTAAACTGATCATTCCCCAACATTGTTTTACACCGATTTTCAGTGTTTTAAGTTTTTTGAAAGAAGCAAGGCATTTTAACAATGTAAGTAATTTTATATTTTTATTTAATAACGTATGTTTGTTATTTTTATAATAATTATTTTAAAAATCGTATTAACAACAATAAATTGTAATTAATAGATTTTAGATATATATATATATATATATATATATATATATATATATATATATATATATATATATATATATATATGCTCATAAGATCCATTAAACATATTTCTAAATGAAAGTTATTTACAAAAAAAATAAAAGTAAAAAATCTTTCTCAATACACTTGTTACTCTAATTTTTTTGCTGAAATAGTTTACGAAAAAAACAACTTAGAAACATTGTTATTATAGATGCTTGAAAATGTTTCAGTATGTTGTAGATAAAATCTAGGGTTAAATATTATAACAGTGATTTGTTGAGTGAAGGGTTACAATTTTTTGTTTTTCATCTTTGAAATACTCTTGAAGCTTGTATAATTAATGTTCTAAACCTACGGAACTATATATGACTTTATAGCGGGTCAACTTGTTAGAAATTGGTATTTTTTTTATGGTTTCGAACCAAAAATTACATTCAACCATGTATTATGATCAAATTTTATATGTCATACGAACCTGTTAGATGTATTATTGGGATTAGAGTACTCTTCGTGAATCATCAAACATTTTTAAAGATAACATTATGAAAAAATTGAACTCAAACTTCAAAACAAAGCGTGACTAATATCTCATGACTTGAGGTCGTAAAACTAGTACTACGTATAGTAGTATATATATATATATATATATATATATATATATATATATATATATATATATATATATATATATATATATATATATATATATTTGTTAGTTTTAATTCTTATACAAGAAGCTTCTTTTTTATCAAACAAAAAGAGACACTATATAACGAACAGTATTTATGAGGAGTGCAGTATTATATGTTGTTCAATTTTCTTTGTGTATGTATATGTTATTAGAGATCATTCTCGCACACATTTATAATATCATCATTCGAACTCAAGAGTTGCATTCATTGCAAATCATATAATGTTTATGACCGAAATTTGTCCAACTACAAATTATATTATATGTCAGTGTTGTTAATAATAAAAGGTGTTCAGAGGTGTGTTAGGGTATATGATTTTTATTTTCAAGGTTCGAATGTTGCAACCAAGCTCGTGTAATTAATTAATAGCTCTATAACATAAGAAATATTAATGTATAAGCTCACGAAGGAACATGGTATAGATGGTGCCCACGGTGAAGGTCAAAAAGATAGTTGAGCACAAACGGTCCACTAATAAATAAATTCATTAATTTTTGTATCAAAAAACAGAAAAAAAAATTTAATAAAGAATCCATTAAAGTCTGAAACTAGCTACCCACCAAAAGAATAAGAAATTCTCATTATCCTTTTGGGTCATCTTCTACATGGAACTACTCCCACTGAAGGTGATTAAATCAAACACGTATATATCTTTCTTTCTCCTTTTATAAACCGGGGATTGAAGTCCAAACCCAGCAAACAACAAAAGCAAAGAATTAATTAATTATCTGAGAAATTATTGAATAGGTCAATGGATGGAGTACGAGGTGAAACAAAGTTTGAAGGACTAGGCATGATGAAACCCTCCATAAAATTTCTGCTACTATGTAGAACGGGGCTTAAATCATGAAAGAAGCTAACCATGTTTGGATCCGTCAATGGTGGCGAGAAGAAATTTGAAGGAATGGGAGACAAGGAAGCTGGTCCCGGGGACAAAATCCCATGAAACATGTTTGGTCGCTCCAACACCCCATGACCTACTACATCCACCCCTCCAACATCACCACTATTCTCACTTGGGTGTTGTTTAACGCTTTGAGTTGTTCTAGCCATCTCTATTGCGGCGTATCGAGCTATCGGCGATATCATGTTACCACTGTCATCATTGTCACCACCACCACCACCATGATCTTTATCATCATTTAAAGGGTGGGTTGTGAGCTTATCAGAAGAGGAAGAACCGGTGAGACGTTGAACGAGGCTCATGAAGTCACTTGGTGTGGTGTGGATTACTTTAGGAGAGACGGTGTAGATGATGATGGGTTGTCGAGGTGGAGCTTGCGGGTGCGATGGTGGCGGCGCAAGTGGTGGCTTCTTGATCTTGTGGGAGTCCTTGTTTACCCTAAGAGGAGTGGGACGAGGGCCTTGGAGTTCTCTTTTGGGCGATCTTCCCGAGGGAATGTGTTGTGAGTTCATGGTGGTAGCAAATGAAGGGTGGTTGAATATTGTGAAATGATCAGTAGAAGAGGAAATGGGTTGTGAAATGGTGATGGTGAGAAGAAGAGAGTGAGTTGTGGTATGAAAAGTAGGGTATATAAGGGGCTGACGTGAAACGCACAGAGAGCGGGTCAATGGTTTAAAAGGGTGTATTTTAATGTATGATATACGTTTGGTAAAACATGGCTCCTTGTATGGTAAATTTTTTATAATGTATTCATACATGGGGGCGGTTTCGTGATGTTTTGGTTGTCTGAATTTGTCTTATGTGTTGGTTTTAATTTTGAGTTTTTGGTTATTGGTAGGAGTTGGAAAGGGTGGACAGGGTCGTGAGCACGTGAGCACGTGAGAATGCAAATGATGTATGATGCAGGAGTAAAAGTATTGATGAGTGGATAAGTGTTGACAAGTAATAGTGAGTATATTATTATGTGGTTTTCGTTGATTCCTTAGTGTTAGTGGGTGTGTAAGGTTACAACACCCAAGTCTTTTGAGTTACTCTCTCTGGTGGGTCCTGTTTTGTCCCTTGGTTAGTTCAAAACATTTGTAATGATTTAGTGCCACCAAAACGACATTCGAAAAAGTCTGCAGCTTTGACCTGGCACATGAAGTTGCTTGCATTGAACCCTCCCTCACTTTCTCTTACATTTAATATTCACGTAAAAATTTAACAAGTATTTTATTAACTACGTTCATGCATAATATAACTTGTAACATATACTTTTTCATTACTTTAATAACATCGATATAATGAATGCAAATTTTATTTTCTCTTCCGTGCGTAACCCAGTATTTACGGCCTCCGGTTATCAATGCACATTAGAGATGAAAATAAGGTTGATCAAGGTAGGTTTTTAGGTCTCATTTTGCTTTACGTTGAAATTATACTGACTTTGTTCTGTTTGTTTATTAAATGTTTGGTTTAACTTATGTAAAAATCTTTGCTGATTAAAGATTTGTTTTTAACTTATTCTGTGATCATTTAGCACAAAAATAAATGTCACAATAGATATGTTAGGCATTAATATATAAGAATGTAATATAAATTTATTTATATAATGTTAACCTATTTTTAATGTCTAACAAACATGGTTTATATAAAATCTGACAATATAAGCTGTTAGTTGACTAGGTAATTAGATATACTTTATATTTTAAATGATAAATAAATGAAATATTTTAATAAATGATAGCAAAATTAATAATAATAATAATAATAATAATAATAATAATAATAATAATAATAATAAGTGCAAATGTTTATCATATTATTTTATTTCTAATTTTTTTAAAGATGTAAACGATATGACCAAGAACTTGACCTCATTAATTAATATATTAGACTTTAATAACAAAAAAATGATCTACTTTAATCGATAGTTTGATCTATTTTTAGTCTAAAAGGTAACCATCATTAGAAATTCTCATGAGAATTTTTCATGTAAATTTTTTATAAAAATTATAAGACATAAGTTTTTTACAAATTTAAATAGTTTTTTATAAGAAAAATTCAGAAAATAACTAACTTTTTATAGAGAATATGGTAAAAAGAACGATAAAATATAGTAGAGAAAACTCTCAATCAATTTAAACAAATCTATTAATATTCCTATACAGTATTAATTAGTCATTATTAGAGTTTTATTATACTTTAGGGTTTAGTTTCTATCATTCAATTTTTCTTCATGTATAAAACAAAATAGCTTCTCTCTCACACTGATCATAATTTGAGTCCCTCACCACTGATATCGCACAATTGAACTACAAAATAAAATTGAATTCTAAATTAAGGTTTAACTCTTGTAATGTATAGGAAAAAACTATCATTTTCTACATAAAGGGAGCATATGGGATATATAGCAGATGGGTCTAATATTATGTCACAAAAGTGTTAAATCAAAATTAAAATCTCTATTATGGGAAGAACAAGACGCTACTAATATGGGATTAGGATCCTTAAAAGGTAACTTAATTTGATTAGAATTAAAAATAAATGAGATATGGTTTTTTACGGCAAGTTTTCATGAAAAAGAAGCCGTGTTCGACAATCTTGAATGAATCGTACCTTAAAGGCATAGTTATTTTTTCATCTTAGCTACAAAACCCTAGCAAACCAAATCGATATCGAATAGCTACTTCATTGAAGTTGTCAATGATCCCAACTAATCAACATGGACGTAGCGAAGTTGCTTTTAACAATTATTTGACTTTAAGATAAAATATTGATTGAAGATGTATGTCAAGGAAATGTATAAATTAAGAAGTATGAGTATGACACTAGGACAAAGTTCCACCCTCATAAACACAAAATACAAAAAGACCATTTGAGTTTATTAATTATACCTCAGTGTGAATATGATAGACATAAAACATGTTGAACAAATTGCTATCGGATTCTTCTGCGTCGGTGCCGTATACACTACACATGGCTATGAAAATTATGCTCTAACTAAACTTTATGATACTTTTTTTAGTGCATATAAAAGCTTCTAGAGATAGTTTGTTAAAAGTACAAAACATTTGGTTTAAAAGGTAGCTATACTAGGAATTATATAAGCTTCTCAACTATTTCATAATTATTAATTAGATCTCCCATCAGGTCCTTTCTTTCTATTCCATAATGTTTTAAGATTTTTATTTCCTTGTTCTAACCAAAAGTTGGATCAACCTTAGTTAGTTTTGATGAAAAAATATACTTTAAATTTAATCTTAAAGGGTTTTTTTATTAAGTTAATTTGTCCCAAAAACTATAGGACTTGAACCCTAATAACCTAATATCATTAGGGATGGTAAAGCAGGCTAGCCCGTCCCGTTTTGGTCCGCCCGCCTTTGGCCCGCCAAAGCGGGCGAGCGGCTGCCCGATATAGTCATGATGGGCTGGCTCGCCATAATTTAGAAAAAAATATTTTTTTTAATAATTTTTTTTAATAAATTTAATAATAAAAGTATTATTTGTTTGTCAATAATTCAATATATATATATATATATATATATATTATTTCCATTTAATAATATAAATCAATACATTATTTTAAGAAATTATAATTTAGAACAATAATAAAATTTACATAATAATAAATAATAACAAATATATATATATATATATATATATATATATATATAACGTTAAACTTATAAAATTTATATTTTTTATATTGAAAAATTCAAATACCTATATCTTTTTTATTTCATAAAATTTCATATTATTCTTGGTTGAGTAATTCTTACACCTTTAATTCAAGTAATAAGGATAAAAATAATCAGTGCTTAAGATAAACAAGGAGAACAGGAGAGAAAGTTATGTTTCGGGAAGGAGAATATTTTCTGTGAGAATGAAACTTTTTTAATTCTCTTTTTAAAAATTTTAACTTTATATATTATCTTTATAATTAATTTTATTTACAATAAAAAATTATTTTTTTATTAATTAGGCGGGTCGCGGGCTGGCCCAACGGGTTGGCGGGCTTGGTGGGACAGTCAAAGCGGACTGGTGGGTTGAAAACACCAACCCGCCCCGCCATATTATGGCGGGCTGGCCCGCCGGCCTAGCCCGTTTTGCCATCCTTAAATATTATACACCGTAAATGACTTAATTTTCATGGAATTCATGATAATAATATTTGATTATAGATAAAATTATCGTTTTATGGTCGACCACTTGAGTCAGAAATAGACCAAACACCACACTTCTCTTACTAATATGTCTTAGCTTAAATATAAATAAAAACTAGTCAAATTATAAAAATTTAATTAATTCATGAATCCAATATTATCACATTTATAACACTACACCAACTCTCTAGGTCTCACTACACCAAATCTCTAGGTCCTCATGTATGTATGGTTCTTGGTCTTCTTTTTCATTTGACAGTCTCATGGTGGGGAATCAAAAGCTACTTAAAGATGATACCGAGGAAGACTCATATATATGCTAATTGAGGGAGTCAGAAGAGGAATCTTGCAATGATTTTTTTCGCATGGGATCTTATTACGAGACTCTTGTGTTTATTTTGAGCATTGATGATTAGAATGTGATGTATAAATGACTATTTGAAATCTAAATGTTATCCTTCTTTTGTATTTTGACTTTGATACAACTAGGTTTCAGACATTTTGTATTTAATCGGTCACTACGGGAAGAAACTCTAAAAAAAAAAAAAATTATATCACACTCTAATTTTAAAAGAAACATTCACATCTAACATGTTAATAGTAAAGTAACACTTGTACTCCTTATTTTTTTCATACTTATACTTGTATAAGATTCATATATAAAACATAATAATAATTTAGTAAAGTTAATTATATATATATATATATATATATATATATATATATATTATTTACTTATTTTTATATTAATTTTTTTTTTCAAAAACATAACTTTTTATATTTTTTGTAAAATAATTTATAATTTTCATGATAATTTTAATGCAGAAAAATAAAATTATTAATTTTTTGTTTTGAAATTTGAATTTTTAATTTTTAGAATTTTTATTTAGTTTTAATTAACATAATAATTTTAAATAAAATAAAGTAAGTATGAATTTAATAAAAACATAGGAAAATTGAACTTCATTTATTTAAAAATATGATGTATAGATTGTTTATTTTAAAAAAAAATATTATAAATCATGAATTTAAAGGAGGTAAATGCAATATACAGTAAAAGTTTTCACTTACAGCCCGTGAATTAATATATATATATATTAGTTGAAAGTTTCAACTGACCAAGGGTCAATGGAGAGGTTGGAGTCGAGTGAAGAAGAAGAAGAAGAGAACAGCGGTCTTGATTTGAAGTTGACCAAGTGTGGTCGGGCTCAGTAATGGCTGCATTAACTCTTAGCTAAGACCGAACCAGTTTTTATATATATATGAAATATAAAACATTTATAAAGCGGTTAAAATAAAATAAAAATATAATAAAATATTAAATATTATTAAATTAAAATAATATTTATGATATTTTTTATTTTAAG